CTGTTTACATTTCCAAACAAATTTCAGAATCAGTCTGTTAATTTTCCAAAAAACTCTCCTGGGATATTTTTCAGCATAATATGAAATCGATAGATCAGCTTGGAAAGAATTGACATCTTGATATGTAGAATATTTCAGTTATTGAACATTGTGTATGTTCTCATTTGGATTTTGTTTATTTTTTTTCAATAATGTTTTATTTTCAAYGGAGTGGTTTCCACACTTTTTGAAAGAATTTTTAATTAAGTAATTAACATTTTGAAAGCTAATATGAATTGTACAATTTRAATAATGCCTTTTCCATTTTGCTGTTCTTGGCATGAGAACATATAGTTACAGTTTTATTTTGATGACTTTATATCTAGAATCCTTATTAACTTTGTTAATCATTGATAATAATTTGTGTTTAAATTCATTTTCAATGTCTTATGTACATTTCCTTGCTATCTGGTTAGTATTAGTTTTATTATTATTTCCAATTCTAGTGAGCTTAATTTTTCTTCTTAYGTAATTGTACTGGCTGAAATTTCTAGCACAGGGTTGAATAGAAGTGGTGTGTTGAACAAGCTTTTGATTATTTTGGACTCTAGCAGGAGGTGAAGATTTAACATCATATTACTGAGTRTAATGTTTTATGCACATTTTGGCAGAAGTTTCCCATTTTTTATTTGTGTTTGGTGTTTTCTTATATCATTTATGATTGACAGTAATGTACAAGTTTATCAAATGGATTCTCTGCAAAATTGATCATGTGTTGATGGTCATATTTTTTGGTCTTTCTCCACTAAATATTCATATTTTATGTACAGACACATAGCAGRACTTAATCTTCTGTTTCAGTTTGTTAAAGACTTTTGTTTCTTCCCATATTTTTATTATTGCATTATTTTTGTCCATATTGATGGGATTTGTTGTTACATATTCAGGCCTGCACATGATATAACAATATAATTTCACCAATATCAYTTCYGAGCATTTTAATTCACATTTTTGACAGATTAGTCTCCAGTTTTTCTTCTTGAAATTTCTTTGTTGTATTTYTGTTAAAGAGAAGCTTGGTGTCATAGATAAGGGAGATCATATTTCCTACTTTGTGACTATTTTTATTGCCTTTCTATCCCTCACCCTCTTGTTTTTTGTGGCTTCTTAGTTGTGTCTTTGGAATGCCTAACAATATTTTTCTAAGTACAGTTATATAAGAAAAGCTGCAGTTTCAGATGATGTTCATCTTCTTTGAGAAAGATTTCTACCCCCGCTCCACTAGATAGTCAGTATGCTACAACACCTCTTACCCTGACTCAGAATTGTTGACTAACACAGTTGAAAATTGACCAAAGCTCTCAACCAACTTCTGAGGTTCCTCCAGCTGTGCATTCTTGGACCAATTTTTACCTCAGCAGCTTTTCCAATGAGTCTAATATAAAGTTTCTATATTTATTTAGACTTTTTGGTCAGTATGGCTCCAAACTACTCCATTTCACTTAATATTACTAATATTATTAATGAAATTTACATATTRTAAAACTAAAAATTGTGTTAAATGGTCAAAAAAGAATTATGATTTTAGTAGGTTAGAATTACTTTTTTCGTCTTCTGGAGAAAAAGGAATGGAGGATCTTCTAGAGAGAAGTAATGGGCCTTGACCTGGTTTTTCCAGTTCACTCTGTTTTCAGTAAAGAATACTTGGCCTCTGTTGAATGTAGAGGGCCCAGTGCTAAAGGGAATGAGCTACTCCTTTCTGCATGGTACAATCAGAAGTTGCGATGCTGCATAGCTTATTTTAATGACTCCCATGTGAATTATAAAAATAAGTTCTGCTATCACAGGATTGAGCCACTCAGCAAGGTGGACATATGGTCTAAGATAACTTGGCAAACTTCTTCTGTAATGGTCTAGATAGTAAATATTTTAGTCTTTTCGGCAATAGGGTCTCTCTTGTCACTTCTTGTCTCTGCCATAGTTACACAAAAGCCCTCATATATGATATGTAAGTGAATGAAAAATGTGTATTCCAATCTGGATGGACAGTGATTTTTAGAATTTGCACGTCACAAAATACATATATTTTTCAATTTAAAAGTTACTAGATAAAAGGCTATACATGAACAGATGACAGACTAGATTTGGATGGGTTGTGATTTACTAATTACTGGTCTGCGCCCTGTTCAAAGAACTTGCTGAATGACAGAAATGTTCTATGTCTCTGTTGCCCAATATAGTAGTTACTAGCTACTCATGCCTGTTCAGTGCTTATAATATGATTAGGGCAAATAAGAAATTTAATTTAATTTGTTTATAGCCATTTACTATGTATTTTTTGAAATATCAGAAGACAGCAGTTCAAATGTTACCAAAGAAAAATATAAGGGGATGAAAATGCTATTTACCCTGATTTAGTCATTACACATGTAGGCACCACAAGTAAGTACATATTTAAAAAGAAATTGTTCACCACCAAAAGCCCTGAAAACAAAAGAATGCATTTTGGTGCTGTCTCACTAAGTGGCCAAAATTAAATTAAATTTGGACGAATCATTTATATTCTCTTTTATTATATTCTCCTTATATTTGTATGAAATATTCATTTATTTTTCTAAAAATACCCATGTACTTGATTCTATGATATTATCCTACATTACCCCATTGGAAGTATCATAAACATCTAGAGTGCACACATCATAATGCCTTTCTAAAATGTTAATCAGTCTGACAATGGAGCAATTGCAATTCATACTTAAGGACTGAATCAGAAATGTGGGCACAGTAAAACTGCCCCCCTCAACACACACACACACACACACACACACACACACACAATTATAAAATGGTTGATGAAACAATTCTGAGAAGGATGACTTCCTCTGAGATGTAGAGGAGTCAATGATAATGACTGCATCAAAAATATTCATCTTTTTTTTAATTGAAGAGTTCTTATTTCTTAGTGAGCAAAATACAGAATCCAGATCACAGTTGCATACATAGGGAAGAGGGTGAAAGAAGTGTCACTTGTGTGAAAGAGTACTACCCTAGAAATACACTAGAATATGACAGAACAATATGACAGAATATGAAAACAACAAAAAAATGCATTGAATATGACAGAAACAAGTCTTTCATCTCTGCCCATTTTAYCTTCATTCATTCTTTCTCTAACACTCTTCTTTATATAGGTCCAAGTTTCTTTTTTAAATTTTTTATTGGCATATAATAATTACACAGAATAATAGTACATTTCATTGTGGCCAATTCATAATGYACATAACATAATTTGATCAATTTCATTCCCCAGTACCTTCTTTTGTCCTCCTGTACTCCTCTTCCTCTTGATCCTCTCACTAGACTCTACTGGTCTCCCTTTAATGTGTCTTTTTAATATATCTCTCTTTTTAATTTTAATGTATCTCTCTTTCTCTCTCTCTTTTTAATGCAGCAGGACCTGTTTTAGATTCATTTTCATTTACATGTATTAGTAGTTCATTCCCCTTTATTACTGAATAGTATTCCTTCCATTACAAAGAATACCATGAATTTATTCTCTACTCTGAGATGGAAATTTTTGGTTCTTTCTTGCTTTTGGCTTTTAAAATATAAGTAATATGAACATTTGTGTAAAAATGTTGAGGTGGACTATATTTACTTTTCTRTTAAGTAAATACCTAAGACCGAGATTATTGCATAATTTCTTAATTTTATGCTAAACTGACAGACTCAATTCAATATTTTATTTTATAATTTGTGCTTTATTTCATATGTAAAAAATATTTGCTAGTACAAGATTGCATAATTTGTCTTTATATTTTTCTAGAATTTTAATAGTTTTAGCTCCTACATTTAAATTGGTGATTCATTTCAAGTTAATTATTTGTGGTATGAAATAATGGTCATGCAATTCATTCCTTTCCTTTCCTTTTCTTGAGTCAAGATTTCTCTGTGTTTCACAAGCTGGCTCCAAAGTCCCGGGTTCAAAGCAATCCTGATGCCTTAGCCTCCTTTGCAGTTGAGGCTACAAGTATATGCCATCATGCCAAGCCTATGTGTTTCTCAAAAGTGTTCAGTCACTCTAGTACAATTTTTTTGAAAATATATCTTTCTATCTTCAAGAAATATTTGTATCTTCAGGAACCATTACATGATCCAATATACCACTCCTCTGCATTTATCCTAAAGACTTAAAGTGAGCATACTAATGTGATACATGCATTGCCATGGCCATGATCATAGCAGCATAATTCATTACAGTCTATATATGGAACCATCTTGAATATCAATCAACAGATAAATTAATAAAGAAAATGTGGTATACGTATATATACAACGGAGTTTTGTTCAACCATAAAAAATGAAACTATGTCATATCCAGGAAAAGAGATGGACTTTTCCTGGATATGACAGAGTTATATGCATAATGGAGGATGAGAGCGTTATGTTAAGCAAATTAGTCAAACTCAGAAAGTCAAGGTACATATTTTTACTGTTACAGGTAGAAGTTAGAAAAAATTCATAAAGAATGATCAGTGGAGAAGACAAAAGGGACCAGGGGGACTTAGGAGGTGAGGAAAGAAGAAGGTGATTAGGGAATGATACTGACCAAATTATAGTGTTATATTATATGCAAGCATGAATGTAAAACAAAAAATTCTACCATTATGTATAATTGTAATGTACCAAAAATGTGAAAAAATAAACATTTTTCACATTCTTATTTAAAACAAAAATGGAATATTAAAAAACTTTAGCATTAATTTGTGATCTTCAACATTTCACATTTCTATGGAGAATCAAATTTTGTGACAATGATAAATATTCAGTTAGTTTTTGGTGTACATTTTATTATTCCAGAAAGGTCTTATAATCAATATCCTGGATATTTAAAGAGCTGACAAAGACCCATTTTAAAGCAGAATCCTATACAAGATGTGTGAAAACTGAAGTGATAAAATAAGTATTGAGTAGGGGCAGACACTAGCATCCAAGTTTGATGATAAAGAGAACAGAAGGTTTGGTACTTAAGTACTAAAGTTCTCACTACTTCAAATGCTTTGGAGGCACTTTAGCAAGGTCGTAGCCACTGGAATTAAACTCATGCATTTATTACTTGGTTGCCTAATTGGAAATATCACTGCTCTTCTTTGGACAGGGTTTCTTATCATAATATTTGGACTAAGTAAAGTCCAAAATTTCCTCTAGCTCCATGACTTCTTTACAAGTTGGTTTATCTGTGTCTGTTCATTGCAGGGTACAACCATAATWACATCACTGACATCTGTGCTGCATGACAGCAAAGAATTCCCCAATCCAGAAAAGTTTGACCCTGGCCATTTCCTGGATAAGAGTGGCAAATTCAAGAAGAGTGACTACTTCATGCCTTTCTCGACAGGTGATAGAAATTTATTTCCATTGGTTTTTATTCCCACGCAGGGGAGAAAAACTTGGGATCACTTAATCTTGACAATGCTTACTTGGGGGCTGGTAGAAATGTTCTTTGCACATGTCAGGAGCAACACTCCCAGTGCCCATGCACTGTCCAAGATCAGGCTACAAAGTCATAACTGGGTCTAATTACTGGGGTGTTGGGAAAATTGACCTCATTCTTCCAAAGTCAGAAAGCTACAGAGAAAGTAGATTGAGTCATGCCTCAAAATACAACACTGTACTCCCAGAACTCTTCTTAGAAGATTCAACTCATCTCCACTGTCCTCATTTGCCCTCTGAAAGATATCTAACTACACAATTTTAGTGAGTATCTTCCATGTGGCCTGTCTCATTCCTCTGCTGATCTCTGGGCATGGTTAGTATCTACAGCACAGAATGGGCCATCCAAAACATCCACAACCCAGTTAGTCAAGCAGATGAAGAGACAGATTGTTGTAATCCAATATGACTRATCCTGTGGGAGAGAAGAAAGGATTGACTGTTCATAATAGTAGAGGGAGAAAATGCTGCCTGCCTTTTCTCTCATACCACACAGTGAAGCATAACATGAATTGACTATCGTTCAAATAGAAGAAAGAACATTAGAGCTGCTTCATAAGAGGCCAAGAAAAAGGACTGAATAGAGGTAAAGGCATTTTAAGGGACAAAAACCAGAGACTAGGATATTTGCTCTTGATCAAGGATACCAGAGCCTTATGACTGGTAAATGAGGGTCAGCAAACCTTGGGAATAGTGCAGATTATCCTTTAAGAACACCAGACCACCTTTATCTCCCTACATCTAGATCCTCCTTAGGATATGGGGCCTTCCACACCTAAAGTGTGTGCTGAGTCTCTGGCATATCATTGCCTGAATTTATTCTTTGATTCTTCAGGCTTGCTTTTAGGTCTGGTACTATAGATACTAATATGAGAAGAACTGAGCCCTACCTTAATGGAACTCCTATTTCAGGAGGCTAGAAAAACAGAGAATAATGATTCAAACTAACTGTGCTTCAGTGCTGACTAAAACCAAAGAGGACAGGAATCTGCAGCTTACAGAAATCACAAAGCGTGTAAAAGAAAAATGAAAAATGTAAAAGAAAAATGATCTAGGATTTGAGAGAAGTATGAAGTGCATCCTAGTCAAAAGAACAGCATGAGATAAAGCTTGAAATTACATTGTATGTTTAAGGCTGATGAGACTAGATAGATGTGACAAATGGGAGGAATGATCATGTTACTTCAGACTGGGAACAAGGAATACAATTAATCAGCATGTGTTTCTGGGAAAAGATTGATGGAAACATAAAATTTCAAAAGAACAGTCTTAATTTGRACATGGTTAAGAAGTTCTTAGTGTAGAGCTGATGGTCAATAAATATTGATGGAATGAAGAGTGTTGATAAATTAATTATTAAGTGGATATCAGATGTTTCCATCCATTTGTCTAATGAGCCATCCTTTATATTTACTCTCTTAAAAATATTTAGTTTTAGATGAACACAATATCTTTATTTTATTTATTTAATTTGATGTCACACTGAGGATCCAATCCAGTGCCTCACATATGCTAGGCAAGTGTTCTACCACTAAGCTACAACCCAACCCTATATTTACTCTTTGTCTATCCATCTGTATTCTTCATGTGTCAATCAGAAATAAACTGCACAGAATATTTACCCTCTCTTAATTATTTCAGGAAAACGGATTTGTGCRGGAGAAGGTCTGGCCCGCATGGAACTGTTTATATTCTTGACCACCATTTTACAGAACTTTCGCCTGAAATCTGTGGTTGACCCAAAGGATCTTGATACCACCCCAGTTTTCAATGGATTWRTCTCTGTGCCACMTGCMTACCGAATCTGCTTCATTCCTGTCTGAAGAAGTGCAATCTGTCTGGCTGCTGCTGTGCTGTCSTCTGGAAATCTTCTCTTTGGGGTTCTTCYTCCTCCTCCTCTACAKGCTTGTCTTCTCTGACCTGCTTCTCACCACYCTATTTCTTTGAATTTCAGTGAACATCCAACCCCACTGGAGAGAGTTTCCTAAGTTTCCACAAATGCATGCTTCCTATTCACATATTGTAACACTTGCATTAGCCGCTCTATATTTTAACAGTCTTGTGAGTTTTTACTATGGCATCACTGTTAAACCAATGAAAGCCTGGGGGTAATCATGTGAAGTGAAATAAGTCAGGCATAGCAAGATCAAGCCACACGTTTCACTTTTATGTGTAATACAAAAAAAGTCACACTCTTAGTGATAAGTAATTGTTATAAGAATTTGGGAAGGGGTGACAATGTGAGTGGATGGGGAAAGAAGTTAGTTAAATAAAGCGTGATAAAGTGGTCCATGCATGTAATCCCATTGACTGGGCAGTCTGAGGTGGAATGATTGCAATGATAGCCAGCCTCAGCAATTTAGGTAGGTCCTAACATCTAAGAGTGATCCTGTCTTAAAATTATATATAACAAGTGCTGGAGATGTGGCTCAGTGGTTAAACACCCTTGGGTTCAATCACTGGTATCAACAAAACAAAACACAACCGCCCCCCCCAAAAAAAACCTTGGTGATTGCATTGAACATACCTGCAGTAATACAGTAGAATCTATCCATGTCATGATCCTTGACATAAATATATCCATAATGTCCCTTTTATCATGTAACTTAACACATTCATGGGTTAATAGGTTTCAAGGATTAAGATATAGGTGTTTTGGGGTATGAAGTCATTATTCAGCATATGMAATTATTTTTATATCCTATTACTAACAAGATGATTGAGACAAGGCTTTTTTAAGTATCTTGTTCAGGCTCATAAGGAGATGAACCTCAGAGTCATCTGGCTTTAGAATAACGGTTTCTAATCAGTTTATTTTAATTATTATTGGGTTCAGTATCTTTTCACTTTATAACTTTATTGGCAGGTAATTGACATACAGTTAATATATGTTAATATTTAATGAAGAGAACACATTTTCAGATTTCAAAGAAAAAGAAAGACTTCATAAAAAGGATCAAGATTCCGTAAGGACTGCAATTTCTCAAAAGCAGCACAGAACACTAGAAATTACTAGAAATAGGCCTTGAGAATTTTTTGGGGGGGTACCTGGTATTGAACTTAGGGGTGCTTAATCACTGAGCAACATCCACAGCCCTTTTTAATATTTTATTTAGAGATAGGGTCTTGCTGAGTTGCTTAGGGCATCAGTAAGTTGCTGAAGCTGGCTTCKAACTCGAGGTCCTCTTGCCTTAGCCTCCCAAGGGACTGGGATTATAGGCTGTGCTCCACTGCACCAGGCTGCCTTGAGGATTCTCAGAGAAACTGTTTTAAATCTAGAAATCTAAATTCAGCCAACATTCAACTAATTGATAACAAAATATCAGGAAATTGATTTCCTGTATTAGGAGGAGATAGATAGATAGATAGATAGATAGATAGATAGAATGAGAATCAAGGTGATAGTGTAACCATGGTCCACTTTGTGCTTTGAATATAACCCTTGCTGCTCTGCCTCTGCAACTTATTGTTGACATGGACATGTTTCTTTCTCTTCTTCTCTCCCTGCTCCTTAATCTCTCCCTTTCCCTAATCTCAGGGGAAACAAGAGTTATCTGTTCCTGGGTACACACCCACCAAAGGAATAAAGTAATCCAGACTTTGGGGGTGGTACCAGAACATCTCAGAAATGACTGTCTCCCAAATTAAAAAGTGAATTACAACACCAACAGAGACCACGTGGAATGTAGTCTTTGAGTCACCTCTTTAAATGCTCCCATGTCCTGTTGATGGGCAGAATCAACCACTGGGATAGGAGTGCCCTGGGCTTCTTTTTTTGGATCATGATGTAACCTTCTTTTTCCTTTTTCTCTAAATCATGTCCTCCTTATTAGATTGGCATCAGGAACAAAGACTGAGATTTCAGCAACACTAATTATAGATACATGGTAAATAGAAGACAAGGAATTTATTAAAGGAATTGGCTCACATGGTTGTGGCAACTGAAAAATTTTGCTAGGTGATCTGAACTCTGTAGAACAAAGAAAACCAGTGATGTGACTCAGTTAAAGTCTATGGGCATGAGCATTGGTAGAGTAATGCTCATTTGAAAACACCTTCACAGAGAAACCCAGAAATTATGCTATTGGTTATCACTTAATCCAGTCAAGTGGAAGTCTAAAGTTGGTTATATCTCCTTTGCACTTTTTTTTTTGAGAAGGGTGTTCTTGTAAATAAGAGTGAAAAACTCATTTTGTGAAGTTAGCATCATCCTGATAACAAAACCAGGCAGAGACACATCAAGGAAAGAAAATTACAGACCAATATCCCTGATGAACAAAGATGCAAAAATTCTCAATAAAATTCTGTCAAATCACATACAAAAGCATATTTTAAAAAAGTAGTGCACCATGATCAAGTGAAATTCAGTCCAGGGATGCAAGGTTGGTTCAACATACAGAAATCAATAAATAGAATTATTGCATCAATATACTTAAAGATAAAAATTATATGGTTATATCAATTGATGCAGAGAAATCATTTGACTAAGTACAGCACCTTTTCATGTTTAAAAAACTAGAAAAACTAGGGATAATAAGAACATACCTCAACATTGTAAAAGCTAGCTATGCTAAACCGAAGGCCAACATCATTCTAAATGTAGAAAAAATGGAAGCATTCCTTCTAAAAACTGGAACAAGACAGGGATGCTCTCTTTCACCACTTCTATTCAACATAGTCCTTGAAACTATAGCCAGTGCAATTAGACATAAGAAAGAAATTAAATGGGTACAAATAGGAAAAGAAGAACTCAAACTCTCATTATTTGCTGACAACATGATTATATTCTTAGAGGATCCAAAAAATTCCACCAGAAAACTTCT